AGGGTTTCGGTACACTTCTCGCTTTGCTTATGGGGTTTGGGGTGCGAGAAAGCAAGAGCAAAGGTTAGGTTTCCTTCACAAGGGCACTTAGGTGGCTTAGGTCCCGGATCCGCAGTCTCTGCGAGCCCACAAATGGGGGTTTCCGAAAATAGGGGACCCTAATATAGTACCCTAAATACTAGGATCCCTATTATAAGGACCCCAAAATAAGGTACCCCCTATTTTCGGAAACTCCCAAATAGATTGAGAGCCCAAAGGAGCGAGCCATGTACTGATATGCTAAGAGGCTTGATAAAACATGACCGTCAGGCGTCCGTAAAGGCTTGAGGATGCCTATACCAATACATATAGATATATATATATATATACATACATACACATGCATATACATGTGACCTTGTATGTATATGTATTCATACATATAAATACACAGGTTCTACGTATACACATACATATATAATTATAAACCCCCGACGCACACACACACACACACACTCTCTCTCTCTCTCTGCAATTCTTCGGCTGTTCCGAGTACAACTAGCCAGATCCGCAGCTCTTTTTTGCCATTTACGGTGCGGAGGTGGAACTTTCAGTGTGAGCAGACCCTAAACCCTAAACCCCTAAACACTTAAATCCTAAACCCTAAGTCCTAAGCCCCTAAACACTAAATAAACCCTAAATCCTCAACCCTAAAACCCTAAATCCTAAGCCCTAATAGCCCTAAACCCCAAACCCTAAACCCCAAACCCCAAAACCCTACAAACCCTTATACCCCAAACCCTAGACCCTCTGCCAAAAAAAAATCCGTATCCAGGCGGTGCTTCGCCTTCTCCAGGAGCCCCGGGGAGCTCCCGAGATCCTGGTCACGGCAAAAAAGCGGCTCAGTCAAGTCATATGGAGGCCTTGGGTTTAGGGTTTAGGGGTTTAGGGTTTAGGGATTATACCCTAAGCCCCAAACCCTAAAATAGATAGGGTATGTATTTAGGGTTTAGGGTTTAGGGTATATTATAACTATACTAGAACGTACCCCAAAACCCTAATCTCATTATTTCGGCTTCAAGAGGCTTCTGGGGCTTATAGGGTTTTCTGCAGCCCCATCTCCGAAGAGCGAGCATCGGGTGCTTCTGGGGGACGGGATTGTTCGTAGAGGTACATGCTGTGTGTTCAGAACTTGACTGCCTCGACTTTGATGCACTTACCGTTGACTTCAAGATGCATCATGGCGCTGGAACACAAAGACAGCACGTTTGGGTATGAAGAGAACAAGCATTGAGGATCGCAGGCCCTGTGTTGTTCTACTATATACATACATATATATATATATATTAATATTAAATATATATATATATATATGTATATATATATATATATCCAGTTATAGATGCACTCAGGGAACATGAAAAACACTAATCACTGGCATCGCCTGTGGTTAAAGAAGCTTGTTCTTAACTGGCGTCCTTGTCGACTCCCACCCAAAGTAAGCTTTTCCAGGCTGAGGGAAATAGCAATGTCAAGTCTCAGCCCCTAAACCCTAAACCCTAAACCACCCCAAACCCAAAGTGCGGCCTGGACAACGGCTTCATCAGCTCTTCGATTGAACTGTCTATGGCCACAAGCTTAAACAATGTTGTCGAGAAAGTCATGCACTGTCTGAGAAGCAAGTGCCATCTTCTTTTCATGATGATGACAGGGTATGTGCCGTACGTGCCATAAAACATCTGGAGTGTCATGTCAGCTTCCGGAGTTGCCGTAGCCTGCCACAGAGTCTGCTGTGATGCCAAATGCTTGGCAGGTTAGGGCTTGCAGTGACATTCTGCCACATGGAGGTTTCCTAAAATAGGGGACCCTAATATAGTACCCTAATAATGGGATACTTATTATAAGGACTCCAAAATAAGGTACCCCTAATTTTCGGAAACTCCCACATAGCGTGTACATCGAAGGACTGCTTGGTTGGCTGATTCTGAGCCTTCTGGAGTGTGACTGGATCTTGAGCCAAAGGCCTAAGCTAGCAGGCCGTCATGGACCTTATAGCATAACAGGACGGCACCTACACTTTTTGAGAAAACACTACCATGATTGTCTCTTCTTTCCATGCTTGTATAGATGCTACTATAAAATGCAGACTTACTATGTCATCAACCAGCAACAACCCAGCAAAGCATCTCCTCAAGCGAAAACCCCTACCCCCTCCTATGACAAATCGCAAACTCCGTCCCAGGAGGCCGATCCCGGGGCGTTGGGACTCACGCAAAGGTAGCGCAAAGAACATAGTTATTCGTAGTGCTATCACAACTTGGGAAGTTCGAAATGTTAAGGCCCCTGTAATACTCTTCAGTCTCAGGTCGTCCAACCTCCCATGACGACCATCTTTTTCCCCCGAAATCGGGCATCCAGAGCAAGACAACCCTCTAAGGAACATCTTCAGCGGAGCATTTGCTTGGCCTCCGAACCCTAAACCCTAAACCCTAAACCCTAAAACTCTCGTGCCACTCGTTCAACCCCAGAGCCGCTTTGCCTACCTGGACCCCAAATAACCTACCTTTGTATAGGGCTCCTAATTATAGATTCTTTGTATAAGTCCTTAAAAGGTATAGGCTTTTTGGGGCTTCAGGTAAGCCCTAAACTCTAAACCCCAACCCTAGGCCAAGTCCGAATGCTTTGCTGCACGGCTGTCGTCCTCTGAAACGGAAACTGCAACCGGCTGTGCGGGAAGCTGTGCCCAGAAGACCACCTGATGCTCGGAATACAGTAGTGCGTCTGTTTTGCACATATGCTGGTGCACCTGCACACGAAGGACTACTTCAATCCTATGAACGGACACAGTGTAGTACCAAGCTCAGATAGACAGATCTGATATGCATCGTATCTATACGCTACGCATGCACGCTGGAGTGTACACAAAAACACTGCCGGAACCTCGAGAAACCGTATAAGAGCATGTGAGAGTTGAAGTTCAAAGTCAAAGCAGGTGTTCTGGGCTTCAGCTGATAGGCTTAGGACGCCTGCAGCGGCACCTGCGAAAAAAAAGGGTTCTTGAGGGAGCAGCGAATAAAGTCAAATGGCCAGCGCATGGTGTGCAACTGCAAAGACCACTTCAAGGTAAAGCCTCTCTAAGCTCTGGGGTGATGCCTGCCTCAACTTTCCGATGCAAAGCTCGTTTGCTTCAGTACCTCCGTTTGCAAATCCTTATAATAATATCGCTATGTAAGGCGCCTGCAGCCCAGCTAGCGTATACCATAACCGAGGCGGGAATAGTACTCAAAGTAAGGAAAACAATCCTAGTAATGATGATGCCGTTCACAGCGCTTGCAATGGCCCTTTCCTGCTGACTGCCCACCTGCTCCGACCATGCGTCTCTATGCGACTGACAACAGAAGCAGACGGCAACTCACCGGTTGAGAGGAAGGGACATCCCTTCCTTCAAGTACATGTTCTGATTTTCGATGAACAATACCCATCCCTTCAGGGTGTAAGTCTGAGGGCTTTCGGGTCTATCTGACCCGATCTGGAACAAGGGGGATGGATTTAGGGTTCGGAGCTTTAGGAGTAATCTTCTGGGCTTAGGGTGCTCCGGCTCAAGGTCTGGAAGCGTCCAAAGGTTAACTAACAAAGACTGGGTTGACAATGTCAGCCTTGACGCCGTTGCTGCCAAACCTCAAACACCTTCAAGTGTGAGCCGTAGGGTTTAGATGAGATTAGCGTCTATATGGGCTGGTCGAGTTGGTTGGACACAGCGTCAGGCACGAAATACGTACGACATACTCTATACAGCCTACACAGAAGCTCAGTATTCTCTCCACCGGTGAGCGCCCGATCCGTACGATCGTCTGCTCAGCCCAGGAGTGCTCCGGTCAACGACTTCTACGGTTTGTTGGTGTTCTGATGTTCTTGCGATTTCAAGTGCTCACGCGGGGTCACGGGCTTTAGGAATTAATTAGGATAAAAACGGGCTACATATAGTCATATAGTAAATATGCGGTTTGGGGGGTATGGGGTCAGGGGATGTCAGGGGTCTAGGCTAGTCTAGGTTTTACGACTTAGGCTTCGGGATTACGCAGGGGTTTGTAGGGTTAGGATTCGGATTTGGGATCTCCAACACCCTGCAGAGGAACGAATCTTTCGACATGGGCAGTCCCAATAAGTCAGGGGTATTTCACGAGACCTCATCGATTCTTGTAGGGCAGGTTGAGAGACTGAGGCCCGAGGCTTGAGACTCTCCCAAAGAGCATTATATTGCCTCGTGCTCCGACCACCACAGGAACGGCATTAGGGGCTCTAGTACCCTATATAGTAGGTAACTGGGGGGTTAGGGACTACCAACGCTGCACATTCTTACCCGGCGCTCTATGTACTTGCAGTTCCCCTCAGCAGTTCCATGAGCCTTCAGCTCGCAACCCCCTTTGCATTAGCCCCTGTAGCAATGCCCCTTTGGCATCTCGGGTTTCTCACTCAAACTCATGGTTTCTGACTTTCCCCAAGACCTTCAAGTATTTCTTGTGAACGGAGCCTTCCAGGGCAGTCTTCGCAAACTGAACAGGGAGTGATTCTCTTTGTCACTGCATGTTCAGCGCCGGATCTGGCCGGCTCCACCAGTGAGGACTGTATTCACAACTCCTAGATCGCGTTCGGTGGCTTCTAAAGGCTAAAAGATGGGTTCCTGTGACTTGATGCCCTGGCTGAAGAAGGAACTCATCGCTAGCAACATGGCGGGGATGTGGGCAACAGGGGGAACACGACCTAGCCTTGAACCCTCATCTCTTATGCCTGGCATAGCATAGGAACACCAGAAAGCCCAACCTGCACATACTTAGAAGTGGCTTGCTATAATATCAAAATCCGAAAGGGGCTCTGAGGGTATGCCACTACTAGTTATTCAGGCCCCTTTATTGCCGCTCATTCCAGAAACAAGGGTTCCCGGAGTCAAGGTCTAAGGTTTGTCGTTTCAGGCTTCCCGGGTTTAGGGTTTAGGGCTACCCGGTTTAGCTTCAGAATTCGCCTCACAGCAGGTCCAGCACATGGCCAGAGAGATACGAGAAAACAAGCTTGAGGTTCTCAGGCGGCAGAGCCTGACCAACCCAGGAGCGAACTTACAGCTGGGGCCTTATTGCAGGAAGCATAAGAATCACAAGAACATACAGTAGCTGTGCCGCAAGGGGGCCTTATTGCAGGAAGCACCAGAATCACAAGAACATACGTACAGTGACTGTCAGAAAAGATGCGTGCCATTGGGTGCATAAAGGGCAATGTGCAGGGAAGCCCAACACTCACCATCCTCTGTGTTCTAACGAGATTTGCAAAAAAACATCTGGTTTGCTGCAAACTCCAAAATCTCCGGAGAACGCTCAAAGGGGCTGTCCTTCAATGAGACATTTCCACGAGGTGCACTGATATTCTTTCGTGGTCCCCCAATAAGGCTTTCGATTCTAAATGCATTGCCGACATTTTGTCCTTCAACGGGGCGTGGGGCACTTTGTCAGAATAGCGAACTATTCCATCATCTGGCGTGTAGTAAAGTACATAGTGACTTATTGCTGGTACCCCGGAACGGAAAGCAAAATAGACAAACAATTAATAGCCGAGCACACACTCATCCACAGCCTCATGGACTTGTGCAGCGTCTAGAGGCCCTACTAAAAAAAATCGGAAAGCGTTTCTATTATTAGGGTGCATATTTATCTCTTCTGCCACTTTTGAGGGGTCGTGCTCTTGCTCTTGCTCCTGCTCTGGCTCTTGCTCCTGCTTCTGCTGCATCTCTTGCGCATGCTCCTTTGCTCCTGCTCTCTTGCTCTTACTGTGCTCTCAGTGTATTTGGAGCCTCGAAACCCTCCCCCTAATTCAGAATAGGGTTTTAATGGCATTGATGATTTCAGGAGGATTCGCCCCAATGTGTTATGATTAGTAGGGGAGTTTAAAGGCGGAAACGATTAAGCCCCAATACCCTAACACCTGTAAATTCCTGAATCCGCATGGGAGTTTCCGAAAATAGGGGACCGTAATATAGTACCCTAAATAATAGGATCCTTATTATAAGGACCCCTAAGTAAGGTACCCCTAATTTTCGGAAACTCCCGCATACCCTCAACCGGAGCCTGGATACCACGCACGGTGCGCTGAATAAGCGTTGAGGGCTCGGAGTTCAGCGAAAGCACCCGCTGCTGAGCCTCACGACCTGACACTGGGTTTTAAGGCTGATGAATGTATATGTATGTATACACGTACCTATAAATCTATATCTGTATCTATATATAAGACTAACTGTCTATATGTTTCTACACATATCTATCTATCTATCTATCTTTCTTTCTTTCTTTCTATTTGTATATATATATATATGTATGCAACTAAGATTATATGAGCATACACAAGGGCTAACTGGAGCGGCTTATGCAGGGGCACGACGGGTGAGCCACAATCCCTCGACGCGCAGTGCTGTCGAATCACAGCGATTGACACAAGTGGTTGTGCGGCTCAGAAAAATCGAAAACTATGGGAGGGAAACATCCTTCAAACAGCCGCGAAAATGACATACAACGTATGTTTTGCCTGCAAGAATACGCTGTATTTTCAGGAAAGAAATTCTTGACGACAGTTCAAAGAAACAACAATTACTACGTGTAGTGGAGTTGCGATGGATCAAGATGCACCGTTGCAAAGTTGTAGACTGCAGCCCGACGAAGCTTCGATGGTAAGAGAGCCGCGTGACAGCTCTTCTAGGCTTACTGTTGGCATTTTGGTGAGACTGGCACGAGACCAAAACAAGCATTGACATTGAATGGCCTGGGTGCTCTCTCTGCAGGAATGGATATGTACGTCCCGGGCTGTGCGAAGTCAAGGCACTTCCCGGCTCCATGTGGCCACCGTGAACCCACAACTCCTCCAATCGAGACGAATCAGGCAGAAAACAACGAACGACTGGAACACTGCTGCCAAATTCACTTGCAACCCAGGCAACTACCAGCAGCGAGCTGTCATTGGATCCTCCGTGCCGTCCGGCAGCTTAGTCACCCAGCCGGCTGCATTGCCACGCCACAGTGCTGTCTGCGCAGTTGGCAATGCCTGCTCTGCACTGCAATACGCAATAATAAGCCCCATGAGGCTGGAAAGACACTGCCTGCAGCCCCACGGAAGATCTCTTGAATCGATAGGTCCGATAGGCATCACGCCTGAAACTTGCAAAGTAACGTACCAAGGGTCAACCAAGCTTTTGATTGACTCCAAACCTTACAGCACCCAGGCCAGCCACACCAAACAGGTGCCTGAACAAACAGCACTGCCATCGCATGTCACTGTGCCGTCCAAACTGCGAACATTGCAATTCGCCGGCCTTCCATCGGCAGAGAAACGCTGCTGAGACCCTAAACTCCAACTCAAGCTGATGTTTCTCCACAAGACAACAAACATGGACTAACGTCGCAGACTTGATTTCCAAGCAGTTAGTTTGGTACTCCTCCTCCAATAAGGAATCCCCAGTAGACACCGAACTTGCAAGCACCTCCATTCGGTCCTGAACCCCCGCAGCCCCCTTCAAAGCCGTAGCCCTAAACCCCAGGAAGCCCAATACAAAACGCTTTAGGGCTTAGCTCCAAATCCCAAATCCGCAACCTCATGACCACCAAAATCCGAAAGCCCTGCATCCACCTTCCAACAGGCACTTTGCAAGTCGAACCTCGGCTATAGGCGGAGCAATGTGTTTAGAGTTTCGGAGCTTAAAAATAGAACCAAAAAAGTTGGAACATCATTATCCTCATGCCCTCAAGCAAAGGGATCCCAGCACGAATCATCCTGAATCCATGTTCCAGCTTATCTGGGATTCACTGTAGTGTAAGGTGGGAGCTGTGTGTTTACACTCTCACAACTCGGACTCGTCAGATGAGGACTCAAGGCCTTGCGCTTCACTAGGTCTTGGGCATGCATGTGACGCCTGTGAGTTACAAGCCGAACACGTACAAGTAAACCAAGCCGCAAACACCAACACACGTCATGTGCAGAGGTGCATTCTTTGCAGATCTACGGCGTCTCAGATAGCGTGCGATTTATCCCCCGGAGAGCCCTCAACTCCTAGTTGAGGTGCCCAGCACTCCACAGAAACTGCAAGAGGCCTTCAAAAACATGAAACAAGTTCACATTCGCACTTGCTGTTGCTGTCATCAGCGTCGGTTGAGGGTTCAGAGCCTTGGGTTTATGGCCGCGAATATGCGGCCTGTGGCATCGGATTATAGGGAGGACTCCACTGTCACAGAGCGGTTCAGAATCCAGCAAAGTCGACTAAGACCTGACGGTATGGCGGAGATCATGCTTGCTAGCAGCGAACACTGCCCTGGAACACATTCGGCTTTGGCCACATCTGCTTAGAACAAACCCTTTACCGCGGTTTCGTCTCACACACTCGCACAAGGCTGGCATGGGATACAGTGTCCGAGCTTGCTACAGGTCAGGGGCATGCCACACACAACAACTGACAGAGAGCGCCTTTTTTTTCCCGGCTCTCGTTGGCAATGCCGCATCGTGTTCTGCAGCACCACCCAACCGGAACCGGCAGGGCAGAGTACAGAAAGGGACAGCCCCCATGTTGAAGGTCCCTTCTTCAACCACCTCTTCTCTGCGATATTCTCTCTCTGAAGCTCCACTTCGCCCCTTTTTGTTGGCTTATTTCTGGCTCTTGGGGACCAAACAGGACGGCAACAGGCAGTGACGAGGGGTGAACGAATTCAGCTTCTACACGGCTGGCCCAGATGGTCCGGGCCATCAGCTACACCTAAACATGATGATGACTATGGGTTTAGGGTTTAGGGGTTTAGGGTGTTAAGGGTTTAGGATGTTGATAATTATGATAGGTACGACCGCTGTAAGCACCCGCGACTGCAAAGAGTGTGCATCCATCTGCCGTAAATCTGAACGACACGAACCAGACCAGCAACTAACAGCCGCGTGCCCAGCCAGCTGGCCGACAAAGAACTACACACTACCCACATGTACCACGCAGCTTCAGCTCTGCATCGTCGCGACAAACCTGTTCCCTCGAAATTTTCTTTGAAAAGTGCGAGAAAAACAGACCCCTGGCACCGAAGTCTAAAGCCTCCAGGCAGCATACGAACCATGCGCTCCAGCGCTCATTCCCAAAGCTCTACCGCAAACAGAAGCTCCGGTGCACATGCCTCTTGTAGCATCTGATCTGCGAGGGGGCGACAGTTGCAGGAAATCGGGTGAAGGAAGGGACATCTTTGAAGATCCTTCGAAGTTTGGGTGTTAGTGCAATTGAGGCTGCAGGGTCAAACAGCAGGCTCCACCTGGCAACCCACCAAAACGTCAAACAACCCTGCTTCCTGCACTGCCAAACCTGTGCCGTCGGCACGTTGGACGTCTGTCCGTCAGCACTTCATTCGCACAGGTCGGGTGAGAGGGCTGAAAAGCTCCAACCTTTGCAGCTGCAGCATGGGCACTGACTCCGTCTCAGAGGGATCTTGGAGGGTTCAGGATTCACTGCAAAGCTCGGAGGCCCGCAGCCTCCACCCAAGAGTTAAAGGGCTGTAACCCATCCCGGCCTTTTACCAGCCAGGATGGGTCTTAGAATCAGCCTCCGCCCCAAGCCCCCCTCATGCGGGAGGTGGCGGGTCCCTGCTTGATGGTCACCTCGATGGTCTGTCTCACCCCGCCTATCGTTCCTCGTGTCACGGTAACCTGAGCTCCCGCCTTGAAAGCCTCTTCGGCCTTCTCCTTGTATGGGAAGGGGCAGTCTTCGAAGCACGCCGCGAGCTCCGGCGTCATCTTCTTCGCAGAGACGGTCTTCTTAGACTCGCCTCCAGCATCACTGGGAGCACGAGCACCTGCGGCCGCGGCCGCAGCTTTTGCTTTCGGCGCGGGCTTCGGCGCCTCCTTCTTGGCCTCGTACGGAGTGCCCCGTGGAAGAACGTTCTCTTTGAAGGCCCCCATCATGTTTCCCGCCGGAAAATAGTTCGCAACGCAGAAGCGGCCGTCTTCCGACACAGCCATGCCCACTTGCTTGGTTCCTTTCCAAACGACTTGGGTGAAGTGTCCTGTGCCAGGAGAAAACGTGGCCTTCTTCCAGTCATAGCCCGGTTGGTTGATCTCATCATACCATGCTTGGGTCATCTCCTCTGCCGACTTCCCCGGAGAAGAGCACCAGAAGATGTTCTGACCATGCCGGCCAGACGGCCCTTCCAGGCAATCATGGAACATGCAAGACCTTTCCTGGCATGCATTGGCCTGCTTCTTGGCCAGGAGGTAGCACTCGTCACTCCAGGTGAGGGCTGGAGCGCCGTGCTCGGCGCGGAAGGCGTTGTGGGCGGCTAGGACATCCTTCTTCCAGTCGGACCGGACACCTTCTGCTGAGGGCTTGCCTTGTGGAGGCTCCTGAATGATCTTTGCCACGACTTGCTTTCCGTTGAGGACAAAGTCCATGAACTCATCCAACTCCACTGTGCCACTCTGGTCTACATCCGCCGCGCAGAAGAGCTTCTGTAACTGGACCTCCGAGAGTTTGGGGCTCAAAGTCACCATCATCTTTTTCATCTCCTCGAAGCTGAGAGTGCCGTCCTTGTTCACGTCCAGCTCCTTGAATTGCTTCTTGATCTTGTCCACGGAAGCATCGCTTGGCAATGCATTCTTGGCCGCCAAGACAGCGTCGACACTTGGCCTTTGCTGCATATCCCCATAGACGTCGACCAGCGGAAGCCCAAAAGTGCCCCCTTTGAACCAGGAGCAAGCTCGAAGCTTCCGGGACATCTCCGCCTTATTTGCATCCACGGTGATGTCGCTCCATCTGTACTTCAGCTCTTTCCCATCGCACTCCTTCCTGAACTTCGAACAGAGGCCACAGCTATCACGGCCATACACGACCAGCTCTGCCATCAGCCTGCCAGGGCACGCGGCCCCCTGTGCACTGAAGCCGGTTTGGGCTTCCGCCAAAATGGCTGTTTAAGGTTTAAACTGTGGTCTCATGGTTCTTCTGATGGCTTTGGGATTTCAGGCGCAATGACACAGTGCGACAATTGTTTCCACAAGCAACGTGCCCGAAATCGTTCCCTGTTTTTGAGAACTTCCCGTGCCGGCCGCGAAAGCGGTTAAAACGTATCGCGAAACCTCGGAGCCAATAGTGCTGTCTCCTCTGTCGGTTCAGGTAGACCTTATACACACTTAAAATGAAGGACTAGCCCAAGTCAGAGACGCAGCAACCAAGCGCTGCCAGCGTTTTTCGGAATCATCAGTGCGAAAGTGGCTTCGTCATCATCATAGTGACACTCCCTCACGGTCTTTCCTAGCCGCTGCTTTGTTCTCTGCCAGGTGGCGAGTAAAGGCCCCAACGGCCTGTGGCGGGCTTTCGGGCGCGGCCCAGCACCAGCAGTTGCCTCGGACAGTGAGTCATTCCGCGCAGTTACTGTCACTTCACTCCCCCTGGCCGCAGCTGGGTATAGCCCAAAGCTGAGCAAGCATGCGTGACCTGCGCGAAGAAAGCCCAAATGTGGACGATGCCAAGGCTGCCAAGTTACATGCCTCGGAGGGCGATAATGCTTCGGCAGGACTTCACCTGAAAAAACGCACGTCGAGCTTGTGAGGTTTCGGATATGACTTTTCGGAGCAAGTTCAAAAGCCTCAAAGCACACATCCTGAGAATTTCATCTGAAGCTGTTAGGTTTCGATCTCGGGCCTCAGGTCTAGACTTGAATGCAGGAAGAGATTTGAAACGGCTTCCCTCCATGCTTTGGAGAGCTCCGTGGGTGCTTCTTGGAGTACAGGTCTTCGTCACATCCTCCTCGCTGCACTGCCAGCTTCGTTCCCATTGGCAAATGCGCAGTTCGCAGCACATCGACTTGTACACACGCAGAACGTGCACGAATACAGACGCAGGCCCGCACGCAAACACCCGAAGCGCACGAACATGCAACGAAACGACAGAAGACGAGACGCGAGCCTCAGCTCTCCCTTTTGTTACATTGGCCCTCCTTTAGACAGGCTTGACTGGAGCTCGACCTCCTAAACCCTAAACCCTACCCATCGGCCCCATAGTAGTTCCTTTTTGGGGGGGTTCATATTTAGAATCCTATAAGGTAATCCCAAAAAGGAACTACTACGGGGCCTATGGGTAGCTACCCAAGTGCAGGAGCTATGATACTGAATATGCAGCTGAGGTGATTTTTTTTTGTTGCGGGTATT